CTTTCAATTAAACTGATAACTGTAGACTTCCCACTTCCACTTTGTCCTACTAAAGCTGCAGTGGTGCCACTAGGTATATGAAGAGAGAATCCATTGAATATCAACTCCTCAGGTCTGGCTGGATAGCTGAAATAAACTTCCCTCAAATGGATTTCACCATGAATATCCACTAGTTTTTTTCCATTAGGGTCATACGCATCTATCTCTGGTTTTCTCTCAATTGTCTGAAACATTTTGTAAGCTGCTGCTTGACCTGCAGCGAAAGCACTCATGGAAGGAGATGCCTGACCAAGAGACCTAGCACATATATACCAGAATGAAATTTTATGCAAATGAGCTGAAGTATGCATGAAATATATAAAGTTGAATCTACTTACATGGAAGCATTTAACACAGCAACAAACACATTGACCACCGCACCCGCACTATATCCTCTTTCCGTTATCATCTTTGCGCCAAACCATACAGACAAAGCATAACCGCAGAACATAACTAACATAAATATGCCAAGACCCATTCCACCTACGAAACCTTCATGAACTCCTGATCTATAAGCATCAGAAAGAAATTTCTTGTAAGTAGACACTGCTTGCTTTTCCCCAGTAAAGGATGCAACCTGAAAATATACCCATTTAAATAAAATAATGAATATCATAGCACTGCCAAGCATCATGGTAAACATACCGAGAAGTTACAGAATTCATCGAAAAACTTCAGACTCAACAACATACAGTTCTTATTGAACCTATTGTCTCTTCAACTACATGTGAAGCTTTGGAATACGCGTTTTGGCCTCGGCTTGCCATCATTCCTATGATAAAGGCCATAGCAGCACCAGCAGCAGCAACGAGGGGAACAGCGGATAACATGACAGCAGTTAGAAGCCACCCTTTGATAAATGCTATCACAAAGCCCCCCAAAAAGGTTGCTAATAGCTGCAGAAATCTCCCAACCTATTTAAGAAAGAAAGACTTCATTAAATGACCACTGTAAATAAAGAGCAGTAACAACAAAAAATGAAACGGCTCTTTCTCCTAATTTACAATCAATTCCTATGTGCAATTGTTGCAACACATAGTTGTAGTACTAGTACCTTCTCACCAATAGCATCTTGTATGAGAACAGTGTCACCTGACATCCTCCCTATCACCTCTCCAGTGTTAGTTTCCATATCAAAGAAAGCAATATCCTGTCTTAATATAGTTTTCAAATACAAGCCCCTTATTCTGGCAGCCTGTCTTTCCCCGGTGACCATCCAGCAAGTCACCTCTGAAAATGAAATTTGTTATTCCAGCTAAGTGTCTATTTTTTAATGTAAATTTTTTTTAAAAGATAGAGGTAACAAAAACTGCAATGATCTTAATTGCATGATATACTTACGGAGGAAAGCACCCACGCCGGTGCCTATTCCTAAGTACACAAATTTCAGGCAGACCTGCAATTTAGACAAGTAACCAAGTCATGAGAGATGGTTAATGGATGTGCTATCAGGACTCTTTTACCTCAGAGATTCGTGAAATATTAAGTTCATTTTAGTAGTAAGAAACGTGGTACATCACTAAGTTTAGATGGTTCAGTGATTTAACCTTGGAAACTTCTGTGACAACGTTGGGGCCAAATCGGTTATTGCCAAAGGTATTAATTAGTTCCCCGAAAATCAATGTCATGAGAGGCATCCCAAGGCCATTTCCAATGGCCCCAATGGTGCCAACAACCATTAAAATGATGTCAGTGGAGTCTGCAAATAAGAACAGCCTGTGATATGGAACCGTTTCAGCCTTTTCTTTTTGTTGTCCCTTTCCTATCTTTTCCCCGTTTGTGCTGCTCTCTGGTGCCCTTCTCTCACCATGTTTAAGCTCTACATCATGCAAGCCATTTCCATGCCTCATCATATCAGACATCAGGATTGGGTGTACTCTCCACCTATGGAACAAAGTTGGGACACAAATGATTAACAACTCAGAAAGTTTAGCCACCCCAAAAGGGACCTATTACACCTCCAATCCAAGGATATCAACGAAATGAATAATAAAAAGCTGCAGAGTCACTGTGAGGTTGGAGCTCAGCTAAAAGCTCAGTGAAAAGATTTGTCGACTAAGTTCTGGTGCGGTATAAGTCCTTTTAAAGCTTGAAAATCATGCTCCGGGACCCAGTTGGATATTTTATAACAGAATTACGAAACTTTTTATGAAATGTGAAACTATAAACACCGAGAAACGTAGAGCATCATAAAACAAATAGAAAAATTGTCATGCGTGTTTTCCGAAAGTACTCCGAACCGAAGCGGTTGATGATCCGTCCACAGTATTTCATAACATGTCATTATTTTTGAGGAAAAAACGTGTTTTGTCATAAATTAGTATCAAAACTCTAGTCAACTACATCCCTGTCGAAGTTACTGTTTTTCTTAGAAACAGTTGAATGTTCCAGGCAGTGAAAGGAATTCCATTTTCTGACCAACCACCACAGAAAGAAAGAAAACAAAGGAAAAAACTGAAACTACTTATCACCGGATAAAACTTAGATTATGCATTATTTAATGATGATAGTTTGGTGAACCATTTTTCTTCTTATATCAATCTTCAATAATAAATACGTGAGTCGACATTAGATTATTATAATAATTATTATATCTATAATCATTTTTTACAATTATATATAATCATTATAACAATCGATTACAATCAAGAATTAGTTCTCTAAGCTAGTTTGTTAAAAATTTGTGTTAAAATAATTAATTTCGTTTGGATATAATAAAAAAATAAGTTTTACATAAAAAATATAAAACTAAAACAAAAAATTGATAAAAATATTATAAATTTTTAGATTGACGAAACCAACTTATTTTACAGTAAAAACAATTGAAATTGTTAAAAAAAGCTTCTTCTAACATATCTAAACTCATATATATATATATATATATATATATATATATATGTAATATTTTTATAATGATAAATATTTTAAAGATCATAATTAAGAAATTTTTAATTCATTGATCGTACAAAACATTAGAGTACAAAAATCTTAATTCCGAAGGAAGAAATTCTGGAAGGTTACTCTTGAAAAAGAAAAATAAAGAGATTGTCTTGGTGACAGAATTTAAATACCGGCAACGTTCATGAGTCATGACATAGACACTACTGCTAACATGAGCAATAACAAACCTGTGTACTAAAGCCAGAAAGAAGAAGAGGGTTTGATAGATATTTATACATTCAACCAAAGAGAAGGCAAAAAATGAAAGAATTCAGACAATATACAAAAAGGATAATTGTCTTCTCTCATTGAAAATGGCACCCCCAAATCTGAATGTCTGAAACCAGATTCTGGTACACTGAGTACGAGGATAAATAACTCTGCTGTATGTTTCTGCAGATTTTGAGTAATACTGTGGGTACTTATTATTGTATGATGATGAGAAACTATATTATATGTATGAAGTATATAAATAAATAGGATATCACTTTGGTCATTGTTATGGGTTGGTTTGCAAGCATCCACTTCCCATGATAGCTGAATACGGCTAATATTCAGGAAGTTTGTTTGTCTTTTTATATATTTTAGTTTAATTTTTAAAAATGTTGAGAAAGTTACCAAAGTTTTATCATTATTTTTATCTATTTAGTTACGTACAAACTCAAATGCAATATAACTATTTTACTCTCTCTTAAAACCAAAGCCGGAGAGGCTGAGGGAGTTTAAATATTGCACTAAAATGTTAATTTTTATATACGAGGTAATATTCACTTTTGAGCTTTTGTTTGTTATGATTTTGTTTAAGATATTTTTGATGAGATCGAAAATAAAGTTTCATTTTATTCATATATATCTATTAATCCTCGTGTGATGGCTTATATTTCAGTATATTCGTAAGTTTCATATTACTTAAAACTTGAGATTAAGATAGTTTTTATATATATTCTTCCCTTAATCTTTTGAAATATATTTTAAAAATAAAATTCTCACGAATAAAACTTAAAAATATACAATATTTTAAACATGAAAATTGATTTTAATAATATTATAAAAATAAAATAAAACCAAACATAAACTCGTTCTTAATATTTCACTCAAAAAATATAATTACTCATAATATTTATTGTTACTTTTTTTATGTATTTATTTTCATTTCCATTCAAATTATTAAAGTGGTAATAACAAAAAGTCCCCAGTAAAACATGTAAACTTATTAATCTCCTCCAATTCGATGTTACAGAAAAGCGACATCACTCACTTTGATGATTTTTAATGCTCTTACTTTTTAGCCAAAAAAAGAGTATTTTTTATGAACTTGTGCTTATCACAACACAATAGGTTTGTCCTCGAATATTGGAACAGTATGTTCCACTATGTGCTGTTACTTTATGATAAATAAATTTAAAAAATACTAAAATAAATATAAATAACGCGAACATATTTTATCACTTTTTAAACATGTGTTTACTGTAACAAAAATAAAATTTATATTTATCATGTATATAATTAAATTCACACAAAATATAATTAAATTGAAATTGAAATTTGCTCCTTGCGAAATTATTATACCGAACAAATCATGTATTTTCATTTCGACATGAAAGTGCTCATAAATCAGTTGTTATCACTTGTCAAAATTATAACACTGTTAAATTTTATTTGAGTTGGTTTAGTTAAATTAAAAAAATGTATGCATTCTCCGTACAGGATAAAGAGGAAGACGATGAATAGAATTATTTGTAGTGAAAGAGTATAGTTTCCTCCATAGATGATACTTTCAGGAATACGTTGTCTTCAAGGCAGCAGAAGAACTAATTGTACACGCACTGTAGACCTAATTGCATTGCATGCATGAATGGAATTTCCATATTCATACAAACATGACGAATTTAGAATTTATTTCAAATGGTAACATCACGAAACAGAAGGCAAACAGAACCAGAAATTTGAGGTTAGTAATTTTTGTTGGAACCCTTGATCTTGTTCACAAAAGAGGCAAAGGGACTATAGTCTTCTTCTGTTTACAGGTTCAGTTTCTGATTCACGACACCATGCATGTGATGAAGGAAAGAAAGGCGATGTGCGTCCTCCACGCACCACGTCATCAAACGGATCCCTTTGTTGGGAAGAGGCATGGACCCCACAATGGCCACTGGTATGATGGTAGATCCTTGTATGGGAACCACGTGGACGGGTGGGCCCCACTGGTAGTCCACGTGGTTGAATCCCAGCCTCCCCCACTCAGATACGAACAAAGTGGTGTAGGTTAGTGGAGGCGCAAAAGGGTCTTCCCCATTTTTCAAATGCTCACCCTTCCAGAACTTGTCAAATTCCACGCTTAACTTGGCCTTCGCTTCTTGTATCAGCTTCACCACACCAACCGTTGATGCATTTCTAAGTGACTCACACGAAGCCGTGATCGTCACTGGGAAGAAACAATTGCCATAGAAACCGTTGGGCAGAGCAGGATCCACTAGTTGACGGCAATTTGCAAAGAACACCAACTTCAGTTCCGCATTGGGCTCCAATTCAATGGCCCTTGTTCGAGTGGTCCAACACGCTGCTGCTACAATCTCGAAGGCTGAACATTTCAGCCCAGTCACTTGTTCAAATTCTCTCTTCAGACGGTTGATTTCATGCATGGGCATGTCTATGTTGGCATGCTCTAGTTTATATTCTGGCATTTGAGGTGGAGGGGGTGGTATTGGTGGCAATGCAGGTTCTTGGGGGGTTTGAGGAGATGGAAAGAAGTTCCTCTGCCACACTGGTTCAATGCTGGGTTTCTCTAGACCCCTAGCTATTTCCCCTACTGCGTTTAGAAACTGTGCAGCACCAAGACCATCGCATATGCTGTGGCAGAATATGAGGCCTATCACGAAACCCCCGCAACCAAATTGTGTCACCTGAAATAAATCAATATTCGATAGTTTACTGATGACATGTACACTCAAAGATAACAATATTAATTGTATCAAGATTTCATTAACCTAAAACATGACAATGAAGTAATATGGCATATTAATGGATCACATGACATTATTCAACTGAATGATAGTGTAACTCATGATATATATATATATATATATATATATATATATATATATATATATATATATATATATATATATATATATTGGCATTGGCCTCTCGTATATGGGACACTGGAATGGAACTTTTTCGGTGTGAAAAGAGAATTAAATAACGGATAATGGGAAAAATTACGTAGTGTGAAGTTTGGAGAAATTAATTATGTTACACCTAGAATCACTATGGATAAAAGTCTAGGAAGTTCGGGGCCATATTCTATCAGAGAGGGTTGCTTTCTGCTGCATAACTTTGATATTTCTGGTAATAATAAAGGATTTAACCTTATTTGGGAAATCAAGGTTCCACCAAAGGTTTTGTGTAGGAGGTGATTTTAAATAAGATTCAGACGCGGACTAGTTGGTTAAAAGGAAGAATAGACAATCACACGAGGATTTGTCCTGCCCTTTCTGCTGGAATGATTTGGAACCAGCTAAGCACCTTTTGATTTGATGTTCCTTTGCTCATCTTGTTTGGCAAAAATGTTACCACTGGCTATGTTTTTAACTATCTTTTACCCGCAAAATTATGTGTCCTATTTTTTTCAACATAGGGATATCATGAAAAGAAGCAAGTTGTAGAATCTGGGTATGGTGATATGGTGCAAAGTTGATTGATTGATTATGCATATGGATTTTCTTGTTGTTAAACTTGAGCTATCAAGAAATCTGTGAAAACGTGACAATGGTATACCTGCATTTGCACGAGGGGGTCGATGCCTTGGCTCTCAGGAATAGCATGAGGAAGAAGATCATCATACGGAATGGACTGAACATCCTCAAAGAAGTTGAGAGAATGAAGGGTGCAATCAGAAGATGCCTCAACATACCACACACCATCACCTGAGCACTCAATTTGAAGGCACCCTAGTTGCGATTCTTTGAGTCTTCCCGCAAGGGGGTAATATGGAACCAGTGCCTTGGCGAGAGCCTCTCTTATGACCCTTGTTGCTTCAGGACCGTGTTTGAAGACGTGCAAGGTTTTAGCATTGCATCTTAGAACAGGTAACCTATCAATCACTGATAAATCTAGTGTGATCAAGGGAGTATCCTCGGCTGGCTTAACTAGGCCTCCTTTTGTTCTTATCACAGACAATGCCATGATGCTAACCGAAGAAAAAAGGTTTGGTAATAACGTAGATGATGGATTCTGAATAGGGTTTATATTTATAAATGGATAAATTCTTATTTTATGTTTTGTGCTCCTTGGCCTTTAAGTCTAAACTTTGTTCGGTAGGTGCAGAAAAGAGAAACTGAACTATTCCGCCAAGCATAGTGGCATATAATTCATTACTTTATATTATAAAGAGGATTAACATTTATGTATTAAAATCCACTACTACAGAATTCACTTTCTACGACACCATCCAACGTCGGTTATCACGAAGACCGACGTTGTACAAGACGCGGTGACAAACTTGTAATTATGAAACAAAATTTAACGTCGGTTATATCATAAACGACGTAGTAACTGGAATTCAACGTCGGTTATATGACAGACGACGTTAAATGTTTAAATTTAACGTCGGTTATGTATAACCGACGTTGAATTCCCAAAATCAACGTCGGTTACATGATTTACCCGACGTTGAAAGCGTTATCCACGTCGGGTTTTTTAATAACCGACGTTGAATGTCCTATCCAAGGCGCGCGGTTATTCAACTTCTTCTTCGTCCCACATATTTCCTCCTTCTGCTTCTTCTTCGCTGTGCCTCGGTCCTCACTGCGCCCTCGCCGCCCTCGCCGCCCCTTCGCGCCTGGTTCGCCGCCCCTCGCTCTGCCTCTCGCCGCTGCTACCTCATTCGCTGTTGTCTCACCGCCCACTCACCGCCCACTCGCCGCGCTCCGCCCCTCGCGCTTGCTACCTCCTTCGTCGCCCACTCGCCGCGCTCTCATCAGGTTAGATTAAGTTGTATGGATGTTTTACAGCATGCATTTAACATAAATATGGATTATTTAGAGCATTTCCTGCGTATGAACATTAGAAAGATGATGGATGATTTTGTATATATGGTTTGATTTGATCTAGGTTCGTTTAGGTTTCGAAGTGGTATATGGAACATTAGGTTTCGTTTAGGTTTAGGTTTAGGTTTAGGTTTAGCTTTCGAAGTGGTATATGGAACATTAGAGCATTGTTAGGCAATGTACACGTTTTTTTTTGTATTGTTTTGTTAAACCTTTTCTAATAAACCTTGAATATCTAGGCAAGCCTTCTTGTGTAGTTAGATGGATCGAACTTGGGTCAATGCAAGTTGTATGTCAGAAGAGTATGAGAATGGAGTTGACTCCTTTTTGAAATTTGCCGAACAAAATGCTCCCAAAATGAATGGAAAAATCTACTGCCCATGCGTTAATTGTGTAAATGGCAGAGTACAAGAGATGGACACAACGCGGGAGCATCTTATTTGCGATGGGATGATGAAGAATTACACCATATGGACATGGCACGGTGAAGTGGTTGATATAATTCTATGTTTTTTTCATTACAGGTAAATGGCATCTCCTCCACCATCTCCTCCACCATCTCCTCAGGCATCTGGAAAGACATTTTCCAGTAAGAGGAGTCGACAATCTACACGGTTGAAAGACTTGACCGTTAGACACATATCTGGCCAGAAGTTATCTGTTTCTGTTGATCCTAGGACTGGCAAGGTGTCAGGTCCCTTCAGTACCCAATTTAGAAGCTACTTGGGTACACTAGCTAGAGAGAAGGTATTTATTCTATTTCAAAGTTAATTTCATTTCAAATATATTGTTGATACTTATGTTGTTTATGTTGTGTAGATATCTATTCTCCATCCTACTTGGGATCATGTGGAGGAAACTGTGAAGAACTTGTTATGGCAAGATCTTCTTGTAAGTATGTGTATTTAGTTGTTTATATTATTTATACATTATTATCAATTGATTAACTAAAACTTGTTTTCTACTGTAGGAACACTTTGATTTAGTTAATTCTGAGGATGTGAGGAGGAAGATAATGACAACCATAGCAAAAATGTGGAGACAGTTCAAGTCCACATTGACCACTAAATGGGTGTATGCTGAGGACAAAGTTAGCAAGGGATTAACCCCTTGCCAAAGATATGGCATAGATGAGGACACTTGGAAGAAGTTTGTACATAGTAGGACTGGTTCAGAGTGGGAGGTAATAGCTTATGGCTTAATTGACTTGAATATTTCATAATGAGTTGTGTATCTAATATTGTGTTCAATTATGTTGTAGGAAAGAAGACAAAAAGCAAAAGACATTCAGAGGAAGAATGTCGCCCCCCACCTTCTGTCTCGTGGGGGGTACGACTTATTGACTAAGAAGATGATGGAGGAGAAGAGTAGACTTCGACAGTCGGAGTTAGCCTCTTCTGGTTTAAGCGAAGAGCATATTCCTCCACCATCTCCTCCAAAACGTCACCGGAAGTGGAAGAGGGCGCGTACAAAGCCTTCCGGTGACATGACGTCGCTGGAAGCCCGACAAATTGCTGCTCGGATTGTAAGTATAAGAAGTTAATTTACTTTGAATTAGTTATATGTAACATGTTCATTAATAAAATTAACTTTTATAATGTAGGATGCCTTGGAGGAGCAATGTACACAGGGAAATTTCATCCCTTCGGTCGTCGGGATATCTTGACCACTCGCTATTGGACGACCGGAACATCCAGGTCGTGTTCGAGCTGTTGGCCAAGGTGTGGGTGTCCGACGGTATTTTGGACCACCATCACAGGATATCCGCACCTCCACATCCCCGAGCCAAGAAGATATTGCTGCCCTGGAGATGGCTCTCACGGAGAAATTGACACCGACCATCGGGGCAAAATTGGAGGAAGAGTTGACTCCTGCCATCGCCGCACGACTTGAGGAGACCATCACTGCACGTGTGCGGGAGCAGCTCCTGCGTATGACCTCCATGGGTACTTCATTTGCTCGATGCTCATCCTCCATCAGGTGCATTTTCAACCACAAATTGGTACTTGACTTGTGTTTCTAAAATCTTAGTCCTTATTGGAATTTACTCGTATTTGTAGGTCCAAGAGTTAGCACAAAGGGCAGTTGTGCCTGAAGCCACTATCGAGGTCATACCCGAGGTGGCATCTATTCATCCTGAATCCACAAAGGATGATCGATATGGCTTGTGGGTTGAGGTAGATGAAGGTCTAAGACTAGTGGCCCATGGATCAGTTCATGAAGGGGCTTCAACCATCCACAATGTGCCTTTGGATCCTAACTTGGTCAAAGTAGTGGTTGAAAAGGTGGTTGACGCTGCGGCTAGTGTCCCTATCCCCACCGATGAGGTGCGAGACAGTGGGCCAAGCCCTTCGGACCTTCATTACTTGGCCCCGACATTTAGTTAAGTCAATCATGGCAAAGGTATGTATATGTATGGTTATAATACATCTAACACATAAAAAATTGATTTATTTTTTATGATTATATTTTATAAAATATGTAGGATGTTCGGCAGCCAAAAGACTTGGGTAAAGCTATTGTCACTCCTTCTGCATCTAAGGAGAAGACACCAGTTGTGGAGACTTCTCCAAATCCAATTTTTGATCTCTTGTCTCTTTCCCCACAATTATATATGCAGTCATTCCAAGTTCCATGGGATTGTACATTATTTGGGATGACTTCTAGCAATATCCCCCTATACATTTCCCACATCGATGCCCTGGAGATTGGGATGGGCAATCAATGTCTAAATATAGTTGTTTTACAATTTTGGACATTGTAAGTTCATATCTTTCATGACTCTTTTCATTTTAGTAAATATATAAGTTATAAGTTCACTTAAATTGGCATATTTTAGGATGATGCACGAAATGATAGTGGAGCAGGGCATTGGTCATGTGTATGGATTCTTCGAGCCTCAATGCATACAAAAGTCCGGGAATAAGCGTGATCAAATTCTCGGTTACATCCAGAATTGGATGATCTGTTTCTAAAAGAGATATTTACCTTGGAGCATACCATCATTCGTAAGTTATCCCAGCCTCTTCTGGTTTTACACAAGTTTTTTTAATAGATTCTAATCATGTGTATATACGAAACCACTCGGCAGCTATTAGTTATTTGTCCAAAGCGAGAATCTTGTGTGTTGGTTCTCGCTCATTGGGAAGAAAACCGGACATGGAGCTCAAAAATATTGTAAACGAGTAAGTATTTATTATATTATGTCTAAACATCTTGATTATTCTATTTCTAATCCCCTTATTTTCAATATATAGTGCTTTAAAGGTTTGTAGTACATTAGATGGAAAACACACAAGTAAAAGCACAGACTCCAAATTGGAATTTTATCAAAGTAAGTAGCCTTTATGTATATTATACTATCTATTAATTTATGTTCAAATTTAATAGTTATTTTTAACATATTTACTCATTTTTAGTGTAACAAACAAAATGGAGGCTACGAGTGCGGCTACTATGTAATGTATTGGATGTGGCTCATCATTTTTGGTTGCATTCAGGATAGTTGGGACGAGGTAAGTTGACATTTGCTATTATATTCAATTCCTTTATTTTTATTGCTTAGGGTTTACCATTCTATTATTGTGAACTTCTTACAGGCATTTAAAGATATAGAACCTTTGCCTATGGATACTATAGACATGGTTCGAAACAAATGGGCAGAAAAGTTTGTACAAGTAGTTAGGAATAATAGGATTGATTGATAATTTTTGTGTATTATGTACATAATGTGGCTGGACTGAGATTTTTGTGTATTGTGTAAATATATAGTGATTATGTGAAAAGACCTGGCTGAGATTTTTGTACATTGTGTATATATTGTGTAAATCTGGTTGGACTGAGATTTATATAGCAGGTCGTGTATGGTAGCACAAAAATAGACCAAAATTTAAAAAAAAAAAGGGATATTCTACGTCGGTTATTGCATTAACCGACGTTGTAACGTCAGTCGCTTGAGCGAAACGTTGGTCGCTTGAGCGAAACAGCACCCGCGAACACCCTTTGTTTGAAGGCTTCGTCGCTCAAGCGAGAACACAGGTCGCTTGAGCGAGAAAGGACTTTCAACGTCGGTTAGTTCAATAACCGACGTAGAATTTACTCATTTCTACGTCGGATTTGTATTAATCGACGTTGTAACGTCGGTCGCTTGAGCGAAACGTGGGTCGCTTGAGCGAAGCAGCACCCGAGAGTCCCCTTTGTTTGAAGGCTTCGTCGCTCAAGCGAGTACACCGGTCGCTTGAGCGACTTCAACGTCGGTTAGTTCAAGAACCGACGTAGAATTTAGTCACTTTCAACGTCGAGTATGATGAACCGACGTAGAAGTCTTTGACATTCAACGACGCCTGATTCAACGACGTCATTGGAACCAACGTTGAAAGTCTTCTACACCCGACGTTGAATGCTCATTCTGCAGTAGTGATCTTAACATGTATGCGTTGTTTTCAAAAATGATGTCACAAGAGTAATGTTCAATTTTCTGTAGTAGTTCAGGATTGAAATGAGGCAGTTAGAGACTTCTATTTGACGATTGTTTCTTATGGCAGTACATTTTTAGGTTGAGACTGATAGAAAGTCTTTTTTGGTAGAGTCTAAGGTTTACTTCTTATTGCAGAACTACATTGATTAAGGGAAGTAAAAGGATGTGTAACTTAATTTAGTCTCAAAAAGTAAGCATAATAAAATACATGATTAAATAATAATGTAGTTTAATCATATATTAAAAGGATGTGTCAAATTGAATTATACAATATATAAAAAATACATGTATTTACTGTGCATTGAAATTCAATAACAATAAAGTACATTTCATCGAATATATTAGAGTGTTCATTACTATAAAAAAAGTACATCTTTCATATACAATATATAAACATATTTTAGTTGTGTATATAATAATATAATACATAACGAAAGTGTGTTTTTATGGAAGGGTATGTTAGGAAAACATATTTTAAAAATAAAAATAAAATTATAGAATGAATAGCAAAAAAGTTTAGGAGGGAATAAAAGAAGCAAAAATCAAAAGACACTGGCACTTGAAGCTCTTTGTTGGGCCTTGTTGAAATGCTCATTGGACTATCTTTGTAATTGTTCGGCTTATTTTTCTTACGCCTCAATTTCTTTCTGTATTTTCTATAACTAATGTAAAATATCAAAATATCTTTTTACTAATTTTCTATAACTCATGTAATTTCGTTTTATCATGATTGCATGAAAATTGTTTTCAGCTTATAGAAGATAAACAAATATTAATATTTTGTATTCAAATTACTTAATTTAAAATACATTTTTAACCTAAAAAGGTGAGTTTCAGAATATTCAAATCTAAATATAATTCTGAAAGAGTTAATCCATGAATTAATTCGTATTGATTATTTTAAAATATATTTTTGAATTGATTAGTTTGAAATATATTTTCGAATGGAGTATTTTATAATATATTTTTGAAATAATCAATCTTAAATTACATGATGAAACATCCGATTTAAAATACAGATTAATTTTTTTTAATACCTAATCCAAATTGAATTTTTAGAATAACTAATTTAAAAATAAGTTGGTAAAGTATAATTTATTTTAATTATGAAGTATAAAAAAAACTGAAGAGATAAAAAAGCAACAGCCGCCTCTTTTAGGTTTTAGTAGTTCTGTGTCTCAGATAAAAATAAATAAAATAAATGCTGGGGTAAAATAAAAACATATCTTCCTTATATTAATGGTTCATGCACTCGAAAGCACAAACGTTTCGTTCTTACATGGTTAAATGAAAAAAGAAAGAAAGAAAAACAAATTGAACTGTAATTAATAAGTTTAAGATCATATTTAAATTAGAAAAAAATCAAAGCGAAACTAGTTCTAACCGAAAACAATTAATCGATCTAGATTTGAGAATTTTTATAAAATGTTTTCTGGTGACTTATATCAAGGAGTAAAGGTTTCAATTGATTTTAAAACTAATAAATCTAATAAAAACTGTTTTCTCAATATGCGAAACACTCATGAGTTGGCTTAATTTTCTTGGGAAAGTTAGAAAGTTTTCGGCTTTCTGTCGAATCGGGATTTTCTAGGTTCCCCTCCTCTTACTCTTTCGTCATCATCCTCCATTGTTTTTTTGTCTTTTATTATTAAATGATACCCAATCTCACTACAAACAAATTCCCCCTGTTCTAATCTAAAATACACTAAAAAAAAATCCAAATCTGATTCAGTTTCTAATTGAAATTTTGAAAATCGAGAAACTACATTTCATATTCGTTATAGAGGTATTTTTTCAAAATAAATTAATCCAACTCAAACATATTCTTGATTAACATTGATCCGAGTGCTTATATTTTTTCTTAAAAAGTATAAATATTCATTTATTTATTTTTCCCTTGCTCCATATAAGGATACCACTATGATGACTATTTTTTTATGGCTATGAAATAGCGGCTCCTAATTTGTCAAGTCACAATAATTGGACTTTAATTTTTGTTCTTTTATGAATAATTGAACTTAATTTAATCAGCAAGTTGTGTTCACCTGGATAATATGACACATTATAAATGATTTAAATATATATTAATAGAAAAATAAGTAATGTAAGCAATAAAAATTGATCACTTTCCCGAAAGGAGAATAAAAAATAGAAAAAAAAAAACTATGTCTTGAGTTTGAAACAAATAGAAAGAGTTGAAGGTAGCAATCAGCATACGTGGCGTGGGACCCATTGGAATTGATGAGAGTGTGTTTGGTGGGTGAGTGATGAGAGAGTAACAATAATGAAATCAAAAAATGAAGTTAAAAACCAAACTCAGAGACCGTACCATCCATCCACGCAAACTCATCTCATCTCTCATCTCATCTCATCTCTATGTTCTCTTTTCTTCTTCTGTTTTCAGCCATGGAGGACGAACCTTTTCTCACAACAACCACCACCACTACTTCGCTACGCGCCGATTTCCCTTTGCAATCTTCGAAGTCATTCGACGACGTCACCTCCACACGCGCCGCGCGTCAGGCCGAGATTCAAGAGCACCAGTCCCAGCCGTTTCCCTTTCACCCCAAGAAGAAAAAACTCAGTCGTTGCAAGACAGCACCGGCCATGGTTACCATGCGAGACCTCAAACCTAAGACGTCCCAAGTCCCCAAACCTCAGTCCAGCTCCATAATCCGACAAGGCATGTGCTTATTAGCCGTGTACCTCTCTGTCGGAGTCGCCATTTACTCTTTCAACAGGGACCATTTCTCCGGCATCGAGACCCACCCTGTGGTTGATGCCCTTTACTTTTGTATAGTGACCATGTGTACCATAGGTTACGGTGACATCGCTCCCTTGACCCCACTTACAAAGGTCTTCGCTTGTGTCTTCGTGCTGGTGGGATTCGGCTTTATAGACATACTCCTCAGTGGCCTTGTTAACTTTGTTTTGGATGTGCAAGAGAACATGATCCTTACGGGGCTCCAAATGGGTGCAACTGCGAGGGATGGTTTTTCTGCGAGGAACTACATCGTTGATGTGGCGAAGGGGAGGATGAGGATCAGGTTGAAGGTAGGTTTGGCGCTTGGGGTTGTGGTGCTGTGCATTGGGATTGGGTGTTTGGTGTTGTACTTTGTGGAGGGTTTGGATTGGGTTGATTCTATTTACTTGTCGGTTATGTCTGTCACAACAGTTGGGTATGGAGACCGGGCGTTTAAGACACTTCCCGGTCGCTTATTTGCCGCTATTTGGTTGCTCTTTTCTACTTTGATGGTGGCGCGGGCTTTCCTCTATTTGGCAGAGGCCAGAATTGATAGAAGGCATCGCAGAATGGCCAAGAAGGTGCTGCAAAGAGAAATTACTGTTGAGGATTTGCTTGCTGCTGATATCAACCACACCGGTTTCATCAGGTATTATCATCACTTCACCTCCAATCATCTCCTGCTTTTGCTACCTATCAAACTTTTCATTTTTCACACTTTCATATCACGCTCTTTAACATGTTAAGAATTCGTATATGAATGCCATCGATGTAGCCACAACTGCAGTTGCTATATACTCACAAAAACACTACAAAATTGGTATTGTTACCGAAATTGCAGTTACGAATATTTTTTAATACCTTGTTACCAATCAATTATCATGATTTTAAAAGAATATCTGCAACTACAACTGCAACTGAGAGACTGTTACATCAACATTTTTCTTTTTTTTTTTGCTTCCTGTGATAACAATACAAGGATTGTGTCTGCATCAGTCATGTTTTGCAATGTTAAAAATTCGATGAAACCACATCTGCTTTACCAATCACTCATAATTTAGTTGCCATGGTAAAAAATTTACAGTTTGCCTGTTATAACTAATCTGAAGCAGAGATTTTTTAATGAAGTAATCAAAAGGGGCCTTATCGCAATTATTGGTATCTAGTATTAGTACGAAAATAACTCCTAATACATAGGATGCCATGATTAGGATATTCTAATCAAGTATCATGCCCCTCAATTACAATTAGCATACGTTATGATTCGTCAAATCTGGAGCCTGGAGGTGCATTAAAATATTATTAGCAAAAATATAAAATAGTGGTTATGCGCGGACATAGTTATAATTTGATTAAGCATTGTGGTTTGGAGGGGATTTGTTTTTTCTTTACTTGTTTACTTTGATGAACTGTCAAATCTCATGGAAAATGTCACTTTCTAAATAAAGATACAGGTAGGGGCAGAGGGTGTGAGTCATCAATGAATCATTTAATTATTTAATGTGGTTATTATCTGAAAGGATTATCTTGTTAGATACTGTTCTTACTAGAAATCTCATCTGCCATTGCTCTTCCCCACTTGGCTCTGTTTTCAGCAAGTCAGAGTATGTAATCTTCAAGCTGAAAGAGATGGGGAAAATACAGGAAAAAGATGTGCTGCAAATTTGTGACCAATTCGGGAAGCTTGACCACTCTAACTGTGGGAAGATAACACTGCCTCATCTCTTGGGGGGCACTTTATGACACAGTAAAAGCAAATCAACTGGGGTATATATGAATACATAATTAATTGTTTTGGTGCAGAAGCTTGCAAGGGAGTAAAAGCACTACTTTTGCACAAGGAAGAATCGGGGTAGACAATCCACGCTGAAACTTTTCTGCAAATCTTTTCCTCTGAGGTGATAGTGATTGAATTATTTGGAGCCCTATTTTGTACGGAAATTACATCAATTATAGAGGTGGATGGATGCAATGCGTGCCATCATCGGCTCTGTTCCCTGCAATCACGTCTAAAACTTGAAAATTTGAAAAAGTGAAAGCAACTGCTTTCAATACGAAATTGAAATCACTTATGAAAGATTGAATTTTCTCGTGCATAAATCATGAGTAACACATTGCATTCTGAACTGATTCAATTTTGAAGGCATGGAAAAAAATTGGAAATGCATTATCCGGAACTTTATTGTACTTATTTTGTTTCTTAGTACATGACTTTTAATCTTATAAATTAATTAATTTCGTTGAAATTTACAAAATATTAGTATTGTACTAAATTAGTTTTTATTATTAACAGCGTGAAATCACGTTGATTGTAGTGAAAAACGTGAAAGCGAGAAATCACGTTGAGTGTCGTAAAAAAACCTGAAAGCTAGAATTATTAGTTTGTCTTGACTTGAAAAATACCGTCAACGCCGTGGAAGCAAATGTGGCACAATCCATATTCGAGGACCACAAAATCGCCAATAGGAAACAACGTAGACCAAACTTAAATTGTTGCTGGCCACACATTTTTTGGTGATGTTAAGTGTTTTTTTTTTTTCTGTATTTTAAAATGTGCAGTCTCTTTCTTCTTAAATTCTTTTTTTTAATTGATTTTCCGATCATCATAGTTATATCAAAATTAAGTTCTTATTTGTGTTCCATCATCAATGGTTGAATTACATAGAATATTTATATAATTTTACAGATAATAGATTATTATGATTAAATATTTATTTAAAAATTATGTTAAACAACTATAGCAATTTTTATCCGAAATATGATATTTCTGCTATTCTTAACCGGACACCGTGTTTGGTTGGGTGGGGCGTTGATAATAAAATAGGTCAAATGTTTTTTTAAGTACTTTCCAAAGACAAAAAACTTGGTATAACTTTTATATGACTTACTATTTTTGATATATCTAGTTTTGTTAATGTATACATTTTTTGTGGCTAAAAAAATAATAATTGTAGATTTGGTTTTGTAATTTTTAAAATGAAGTAATTTTAATTCACACTTAGTATATAAATTAATTGTTAATTGATGATATAATTTGATATTGGAATTTAAGTGGGACAATTTGAACAACCTTTACTATATGAAACCATTTTTTATCTGAATAAATAATTTAAAATTTGTTAAAATATATGACTAATTAGTACTTTGATTATTTTGATTTATAACAAATCAAAAATAATTTTTCTTCATCTATGTATCAAACGATGCAATTATGTGTCAATTGTTCTATATTGATATCATATTTTCTTCTTATAGTTGATGGCATGCTAGATGATAAAGAATATATTTATATTTCTGTGTTCTAGAAACTTTAAAAGAGAAATAAACTTGAAATAAAATACTTATCTCTTGAAAAAAAAAATTCACAAGTGAATGTTACTGTCATATGAAAAATAAAAAGTAATATACATATTAGGTCAAACAAATTGTGACTCTTACCCTTACTAATTTCTTAATGATTTTGGGTGCAAATCATCAAACTTGATGATGAATATTCATATATATATATATATATATATATATATATATATATATATATATATATATATATATATATATATATATATTACGATAAAAAAAAATTAGACTACCAATTTTTAAGACAGACCCTGGATTGAGTTTCATGTTTTGAATTTTGAGTATAAATTTACATAATTTTATTTAATATGATTATAATTATAATATTATTTTGATGCTATGATTTAAGATGATAAGTAAATAAAATAATATTACACATGGAAGAAGATAAACGAAATCAAAATGAAACTGTAAAATGAAACAAAAAATAAATAAATTGAATAACAACGAAAGAGATTGAGTAAGTTAAATAAAATGAAGTATCAAGATTTTTAATTTTTATACTTTTGATAATTTTAAATATTAGTCTGAAAAAATTTTCAGAGTCTTATATTCATTGAATAAATTCTTATACTGTGAATAGTTTGTAGAAAAAAATTAAAATGTTCGAATAAAAAACGTAATTATAAGAAAAAAACCTGTAAAATTTCATAAATTAATTACCATTTATATATGAAATCAGATTTAATCAAAATTCATACACTTTATCAAAAAGAGCTGTTAATTAAAAAAAAATCAACTATTTGATGTTATAATGAAATCAAATATATATTTAAAAAAAATTGTATAAAGGCAGTTTCTATACGTCTAACAGAATTTAGGATTAGTTTCTTTGTTTTTATTTTTTTCTCTATAAACAGTTTTCATCTGTACTGATCTTCAAAGAGTGAAATAAAGAATGTTTTTCCGTTCTTGTTATCTATTGAATCAATATTTTCACATGGTATTGTAATTCTTCTAGCTCTTATTTCATTTCCAGCGGTGACAACCCTGGAATTCCCCTTGTCTCGATTAAATTGGACGGTTCCAATTACCATTCTTGGTCTCGGGATGTTTCCACCGCTCTTCGATCCAAGAACAAACTTTAGTTCGTCAATGGCACTCTTCCGCACCCTTTGCCGAACCCTGCTTTGTTCAGACACTAGGATCGCTGCAATTCCATTGGAATGTTGTACATTCCAATGATGTCACGATTGCTCCCGGTATTCGTTGGATGGATACAGCTGCTGAAATTTGGACTGCTTGGAAAATATATTATCAGGGAGACGTCTTTCGCATTTATGATATCCAAGAAGAAATATATGTCCTCCGACAGGGTCACCTTAGCATCACTGCATATTTTACTCAATTACAAAATCTTTCGCAAGAGTTAGATAAATTCCGCCCTCTGCCTTCGTGTTCTTGCGAGATCAAATGTTCTTGCACTCTTCTTCCTACTGTTCGATCGTACCGTGATGGTGATTGTGTTTTGCGGTTTCTCAAAGGTCTTAATAAACAATATTTTGCGGTGCGCTACAGATCATGATGATGCAACCTTTACCTGATTTTGATCATACTTTTTCACTCCTTATCCAGCAAGAACGACAATTTAGTGTTCCCATTGAAGATCCTCATACAATGGCTTCTTTTTCTTCTACACCTCATGGACGTGATTTTCAATCTCAGATTCCCTCTACTTCTGGAAAACGTCATAGTCATGGTTGTGGCTCTAAAATTTGTGCTCATTGTGAACGACCTGGACACACTATTGATACTTGCTACCGTAAACATGGGTTTTCTCCCCAAATGCAGAATTCTCAGTTTGCACATCATGTTCACACACCTGACGAAATTGACGAAGGTGATGATGGGGCTACTGTTCTTTCCCAGGCGTATGGGATTGATGAATATGTATGTATGATATATTATATAAATATATTTTTTCTTATGTATTCTATTTATAAAAATATTATAAAATATTAAATATTAATAATATTTCTATGATAAATGTCAAAATTAAAATAATAATTTAATATATTTTTATTTTTTTATAAGATAATAAAATCTCTTAATACCTAATTTAAATAAAAGATAATATAATAATATTTCTAATATTTTTCTTTATTTTAATATCTATTCCTCCTTATTTTAATATCTATTTATTTGAATTTGATATTTTTCTTTTTATTTTGTTTATAATTTTTCCTCTTTTTTTATATTTTTTGTCATCTTTTTTCTTGAACAAGATCATATCTTCGTTCAACTCCACTTTTTCATCAAAATATTTTTTCTTTTATCAACTTTATCTTTTATCAACTTCATCTCCTTTATTTCTTTCAAACTTCATCGTAATATTGTTGATTTTTTCATGGACGTTAAAAATGATTTCTTCATCTACATTTTTATTTTCTTCCTTAACATCAAGTTTTTTCAAGAAATCTTCTTCATCTTTTTTCTTTGACTTTTCTTTTATATCTTCGTTTGTAATCAACTATTCTTTCAACAAATCTAAAGTGGAACTTTTTTCATTCATGTGAAATTTGAATATTTTCAAGTTATTTGTATTTTTAATCACACAAAATTTATGTTCAAAAGACACTGTATAATTTTTCTCAAATAATTGAGTAATCCTTAACAAATTATGATTTATATCAGGAACATATAAAACATTAAAAATCAATTTGATACCCGAATGATTTTTAACTACAATTGTTCCCGTACCTTTCACGTTCAATTTTCTCAATTACTGATTCTCACTTTAGAAATATGTGATTCTTTGAGCTCTTTGAAAAATTCTCAATCATGAGTCATGTGGTTTGTAACCACTGTCTATAAGTCAACCTGTAGATTTGTTGATTGTAGAGCAGGTTGATGCAAGGAGAAATATCTCTTTTACCATATCCTCTATAACTTGAACGACTTTCTCTGATTATGATTTGTATAATTTGCATATCTTTTCTATATGTCACAATTAACTACATTTATGAAATTTCACATCATGTCTCCACCAACACTTTGGGTGTGTGATTATTTTTCTTGCAATAAGGACAAACAAAAAAGACTCGTGATTTTGTACCTTTGTTGTTCTTGCCTTGGAGAGAACCTCTATCATGATATAATAAATAACTTTCACCAGCAATATGATCTCCTCTCATCAATCTTCGTTGCTCTTGCGCTTGTAAAATATGTAGCACTTCTGTCAAAGTAATATTAGACAAATCCTTTGTATTTTCCAATGAAGCAATAAATGTTTCATATTTCTCTTGCCCAGTTACTACAATTTTCTCAACTATTATGGAATTAGAAAATTCATTGTCTAACAATTTTATTTTGTTAGCAATACCCAACAATTTGTTTGAGTATTCATTAATTGTCCCATACTCTTGCATCTTTTGTATCTCAAATTTCTTTATCAAGTTTAAAAATTTTCATACCGTATTGCCTGACGTAATCTGGGGTTCTTATGAATATCCCTCGGAAAGAGGCGATGGTTGGGTTGGGGATCCAAGAACTTGGGAACTTGATGTTGGGGGCTTTCCAGTAGACTCTACTTCTATCAGGCCAGTGATTGAATTTCTATTCTAATGTTGGAAGCACGTGAGTGTGATGAATTATTTGAATTCCTTGATGCAGGACCATGGCACTCCTGCTAAAAAATATGGACTTCTATAGATACCGGAACTGAGATATTTGTTAGTGCTCAAGATGAAGTAGCAGAGTGAACTCTCAGTAATTTTGATGCCATGCTAGCAGAGCCAATGTCCAGAATTGAAAAACTAGCTTGGAGATATCAGACAGCTGATAATATTCAAAAGGGCAAAGCTTCTTATTAGTACAAGAGTTACGAATAAACTTACAATATTTCATTGTGTATCGTCCTAGCTATCCACACTAATTTAGGCTTTGGATTCGTGCTACCCTTTATTACTACATTTGGAAGGACCACTGATTGTCGTTAGTTTGAGAATGAGTTCAGTTCCTTTTAGCATTGACAGAATATTAGTGAATATTTTTAATTACTCTACATCTTCGGTTGTACCTTCTAATCCAAATTTGTTTCACTACTAAGACATCAAACCAGTTTCCAACTTTCGTCGAATATATGTATTCCGTTGAAATAGAAAATCAAAGTTGCTTTGTGTAGTTAGGTCGAAAAGATATTGATTGTCATCATAATGCGACCGATCCACTCGTAGCACTTCAGAAAGTCAAGAGGATAATTAAGTAATTGCCAGTTCATCTGGCTTGCTCCCTCGCCAGGAGCTTGAGTATGTTAGAGACTTCAACATCAACTGGGCTATAATGTACCACTAGAATTCAATTGAGTAGAAAGAGCCACAAACTCATAAATTGCACAATGCACATAACCTTTATCACTTGGCTGAGTTTCAGAAAGAGCTTACTCAACCCAGCTAATTGCCTTCTGCTTTTTTATTTGTCTTTTCTTCATCAAGCCCCTCAGTTCACTTACACTGCTCCATATTTCTTTCTCACCTTGGATCTTTGAAAGAATTGAGTAGGAAACAGGATGGTTGCTTTCCAGTTTGTGGATCCTCTCCGCAGCATACTCTCCAAGTTCTAAATTTGAATGCAGGCCACAAGCTGCCAGCAAAGCACCCCACAACACCACGTCAGGCTCAAAAGGCATATTCTCGATCAATTTTACTGCTTCATCAAACTGCCCTGCTTTTCCATAGAGGTCCACCATGCAAGTATAGTGTTCCATCTCTGCTTGGATTCCATACTTAGACAGCATAGAACTGAAGTGTTTTTTACCTTCTTCAATAAGACCTGCATGCACACACGCTGACAACACATTTACGAAAGTAACTTCATCTGGTATAACACCACATTTTTCCATCCTATCAAACTCCTCTAGTGCTCGGGTAGCTAGCCCGTGTCTCGCGTACCCCCCAATTATTGAATTCCATGACACCAAATTCTTGTTCAGAATGGACTCAAAAACACGAAAAGCTGCATCCGTATCCCCACATTTAGCATACATATCAACAAGTGAGGTCAATGAGATGACATCATCCGGTATACCAGACTTGATAATGCACAGGTGCACCTGCATTCCCATCAAAAGAGAGGCACAACCAGCACATGCATCCAATACACTTGAAAACGTGAAATGATTGGGACGAGTTCCTGACTTAAACATCAGAAGAAAAAGCTTCAATGCATCCATAAATCTCTTATTTTGCACATACCCACTAATCATTACCGTCCAAGTCACCACATTCCTCTCATTCATTTTGTTAAAAACAGACCTTGCTTTGTTTATCCTCTTGTTCTTGATATAACCATTCACCAAAGTAGTCCAGGGAATTATGTTCCTCTGGGGCATCATATCAAAGGTTGTTTGTGCATCATCCACGCTTCCCACTTCCATGTAAGCAGAAACCAAAGCACTCCAAGACGTGACATCTTTCACCAATATATCATCAAACACTCGCTTAAAAGCCTCTTCCTCTCTTAAACTCGCATAAGCTTTGATCAATGAAGAAACAACAAACACACTCAAGTTAAGTGCCAAATGCAGCGCTAGAGCATGAAGCTGGGGGACCAAAACATCCAACTTAGTATTTATAACTGCTCTGAGCAATGTGGAGATGGTATATTCATCTGGGGCAACACCAGATCTTCCCATTTGCAAGAAATGGTGGTACAACCCATCAGAGTCTGTGATTCTATTAAAACCAGATAGCATAATATTCCAGGAAACTGTATCTTTGAGGGGCATTTGATCAAACAGGTTGTGGGCATGTTCAATTTGATAGTGTTTGACGTAGCCAGTCATCATCATGTTCCAGGAAACAAGGTTGCGGGATGAGGGATTATCGTCAAACAGTTTTCGAGCGTGGTTTATGTTGTTGTCTTGTATGTGAGCGTCGATCATGTAGTTCAGCTGTGTTGATGTAACTGTACACATGTTCCGGGGGCAGAAACATGGTGTCCACAACAACAATGTATTCACGCGACGCATTTCTTCTTTTATTGACGATGAATTCGCGTAGCTCAATTGTTCTAACAAAATACACTTGACTATTGGACACTATACTGTTCTGCACATTATTCATGGAACCTTACGTTTTATGTTAATTGTTGATCAAATTTATGAGTGTTAACCTGTTATGACAGAATTACATAATCATGAAAGAGTTTAAATAAAAATAAAAAATAGTTAAAATTATTATTATAATATAAAATGCAGTTGTTTAGAGGGTTGTTTGTGTGGATAGTGGTGTCAAAATATCTTTTTCCTTAATTTTATGATTTTCAATAAATTTTAATTAATAATAAAAATGTTGTACAATGAGTGTGCTAGACAATGTGCTGTGGGAAATTTACGCTTAAATTTAAGTAGTAAAAAAAAAAAAAAAGACAAACGGACAAATTTATAAATATATCCATGGATAAAAATATTGAAATTAAAAGAAAAAATTGAGATGGAGATAATAAAAATTAAGAAAGTAAAATGTAAAATAGTAAAAAATTGAGAAGTTAATTGTGATTTCAAAGTTTAATTAATTGGTTAAAATATATTAATCGATTAAACTGATTTTTAAAATATTAAAATGCTTAAAAGCATTTTCAATTTCTTTCAAATGATGAATCCTCGTACAATAGAGAAGAATGAATAATTATACTTATTAATATTGATGCAGACTCACTAATCATTTTATTCTTCAATCTAAGAAATTTTTGACTTCATCAAATCTTCAAGATTTTCATTCTATCATTTCATCCTTTAATCTAAGAAATTTTTTACTTTATCAAATCTTCAAGATTTTCATTATATCATAAGATTCAATAAGATCTTCATCACCTTCGATCTCCCTGATTTGATGAAGACAAATACCTCTTGTAAATCTTTTTAAAAGATCTTGATCTACAAAAGAAATTACTTGGATATATAACCAAAAATAATTAAAAATTTATAGTGATAAAAAGAAAAATTGAGATAAGAGTGAGATAATTAAAGAAAATTGAAGAATAAAATAATCAATTATTTATAATTATTAAAAGAGAAAAAAAATTAAATAATTAACAAATCAAGATTTATAATTATTAATGAAAAAAATTAAGAGAAAGATAAAAATGATAAAATTCAAGATTTGAAAAAACAAAATAGATAAATGAGATATAAAAATGAGTTATAAAATTGAGAAATAAGTAGGAGTATAAATAATTTCATAATTGATAAAGAAGATTTAATTTCATGATGTGATAAAAATAATTACAAATATTAAGTACAAGAATATTACTTGAAAAAGAAGGAAAATCGGTTATAAGAAAAAATTATTTTTATTTATATTTTATTTTAATAAAGTAAAAATAATACCAAATAAATATAATTAAGGGATAAGACTATTTCAATAAAAAAAATTTGCAACTTAGATGATCTTCATGGGTTTTCTATAATTTATTATTCGTGCACTCTACATTTCTCGAACATTTCACATCTATTTTTCTTGTAAATTTATTTATCCTCACTTTAATTTTTGGTTATCTTAAAAAGAAAAAGTGACACGCCTACATGGAGATAAAATATAATTAACAATCTTCTTATCTAAAATATAATCTGATAATACACTATCCTGCATTTTCCCTTAATTAATTACCATCTATACCACCACATTCTTTTGTTAAACTATTCACTTTTATGATACATAATTTTTTAAATGCCCATATATCTTTACTTTTTCATTTCTTTACTACGGTAATAAATTTATCTTGCAATGATCGTAAACCTTGAAAATTGAATTACGATTTGGAACATGCACAAGACAATAATAAACTGTTGTCTCCTAAGTTTGGGATATAGTGCAGTCTCTTCACGTCACAGGTAATCACATTTGGATCATGTTCATGTTGGGTAGTTTTCTTTGGTGAAATTTGACCGTAACAATTGGATTGTGCTAGTTGTACTTTTACTAAATAAAAGGAACAGTTGCTTTCACCATCACATGATTAGATCGATTGTCATTGTATTCCTCCGTCCTCTTTGACTTTTCAGCCTCAAATTACCTTCTCCTGTTTCCCACAACAACCAAATTAGGTTTTCAACTTTCTTCATTGTATTTCAATTAAAATTGACATATATTATAAATTTGTTGACTTTTATAATATCTAAGCATATACGCGATGAATTCTGATGGATTAAAGATTATTTTTTTGAAAAACAAAAATATGAAAGAATATACTTTATTGATTTTTACACTACATAAATTTACTCTGGAAACTTCTGCATCTTCCCACCGGAAGAAAAGCATAATGGTGGTGACACCTTGTGTCTTTGAGTACCGCAAGATGAAAGGTACTACTAGACACGAGGTCTCCCTGTAGTTTCTTTTTCACTTTGAAATGAAACTAGTATTTGTGTACTACCAATATTATGGAGTAGTACAGGGCAGGGTTCAACTGAAATTTGTTAGTACATGCTTGTACTACAAACCATTCGTTCCTCTTTGTGGTACAGTTCTTATTATTATAATTACAATATTATTATATATAGAGAGAGGGGTTGTATGAAATGTATGCAAAAGTAATTTGCAATCCCAGTTCTGAGAGGGTAATATTAGAGAAGTGAGGGATATTAATTTTTGGGCAAAGGTGGTTAATAATGTTGGTAAGGATAGAGGTAAGTTAGTCCATCCAAAGGGTATGGGAGTTAACAAGAAGAGACAGGACAAAGGCTGGGAACAGGCAGAGCACGAATGGAGCTATCAACAGAAAATGGTGAAGTGAGAATGAGAAAGAGAGAGATCTGTTGTGGCTACGCTCATGCACTGCCTCTTCCCTGGCTCTGTCTCTTTCTTATTCCCTCTTCTTTATTTATTTACTGTTTGCGGAATGTAAAAGGGTTTTAATCATGCATGTAATCTACTTAGCAATTAGATTGGCTGTCTTTAAAATTTTGCATTTGCTCTTTTCAATTGACTCTTATTGCTGTTAATGTGTTTGCTCAAGCACAATTGTCCAGGTACATACATTCATAATTGTCTGGTTGTGATTGTTTTCATGTCTGTTTATTTTAAGGTTAATAATTGCTTCTACTGTTTGAAGCTCCTTCCGCAAGCATGACCGTAGTCATATAATGAAACTTTATTATGGACAGGATATTGATTCCATTAGCGGTTCAGAAACATGGGGTAAACTCATTGTTGAGATCTTTAGCTTTCTGACAAGTGTGTGAAGAAATAATTCTCAACCAAGCTTCCCTGCAGGGTGATTACATCTACGGGCCAGTTGTAGTATAACTTATCTGCCAATTTGGAAGGAAACAAGTACAGGGTGTGAATTTTCTAGTTATGTATCATTGTAGATTATGCACATAAATTTCTGTATACAAAGATGGACATTGATTTCATGTCAAGCTTTTCTTTTAGACCTTTACTGTATGTTGGCCATCAGAAGAATGCTGAAAAGTTTTAAAATTTAGAGAAAGGGTGACAAACAGCAACGATGTATTTATCAGACCTCATTCTGAATTCACGATTTCTAAAACGATTGTTTGAATTCTTAATCAATTTCAAGTAGCCCATATGATTACAACTTAAAATGGATCTGATTCTCTATCAGAACCTGTGTTTTGGCCTAATTCAACCGTCTGTAGCTAACACAGCAAGGGACTTGAATTAATTGAATCAAACAATGAAATGGGCTAAATACCATAAAGAATCAACCTGGTTGCTCATAAAAAAAATGAAGAACCAGAAACAGGAGCTACAAAACGACATCTGAGTAGTTTCACTCCAGAGATTTGTAGACAAAATCAAGTACACCCCCACCGAAAGTTCAAGTGTTGGTGTGAAACTTCTACTCAACTAAACAGAAAAAGAAAAAAGAGAAGCAAATGAATTACCATGAGCCCAGTTGGTCCACGGATGCCTTCTGTAACGATATCATATTATTTCCAATTGAATGACCAAGCTGGAATCAAAATATTACATCAAACAGCTTGATTAACAGAAACATGAGACCAAGCAAGTTGATAATAGGTATTTGTTGCTTCCATTCTAGAAATATCATGTTCCACCAAATTAACGGGAGTTACATGCTTGTATCACTGTGGGACAAGCATATGGATTCCTTACACTCAACAAGGACAACAGGCATAACTTCTCCAAGTTTATGATCCAGTTTTCCAGATTCTATAACCAGTAAATCCTCCAGAAGGATCACATAATGTTCCTCAACATCTCCTGCACTTTTTTCTCCTCCAACCATGGCTGCAACCACTTCCCACCGTTCAGGGTGTTGCTCATCCACCACTGCCAAAGCTAGCTCAAACAATTTGTTCTCCTCCCAACTCCAACCACACAAGCTCCTAGCAAAATCTTCCATCTCACTCACTCTGGATCCCTTCAGAGCACTTTGTGGAAATTGAGGATTTCCTAGTAACTCCTTCACATTAGGTGATTTCATTTTCAGACAAAATCTGACACCCCTTATGATGTCTGAGGAGTTAGATGTTTGCAATGAGGTGCCAAATAGTTTTCTTTCGAGTATTTAAAAGGGTCATCTTTTTTATTTTTATATAAACTAGAGCCATTTTCTACTAGAAGTAATCTTGTTGGGTTAAATATAAAACTTTCTTACATTTAACATAGCTGCATAATTAAAAGGGTCTTTCTATACCCAACACAAAAAAGTCTTTGCATTATACAAATATCATCCCTCTTAAGCTAGATCTACGCTTTCGGCAGAGTTATGATAGAAACTGTGATAATGAAAAGTGGTTCCTATGGCACGGAACAGGAAACATAATATAAACAATGCATTAAATAAAGCACCTCGTTATCCATTTGTTGCCCAAGTTGGGATCTCTATTTTCTTATAGGGTCCCAAATCTAGCAATTAATTGTACCAAATATCCAGCAATCGATGTCATGTTTAGCTACACCACATGTCATTTTGAAAAGTACATGCGTTATTAGTAGTATTTTTATATTTTATGAGTGCAACATGGAAGATTAACCAACAGGAATAATGGCAAACTATATATCAATAATTTTTATTTTATTTTATTTTTTCTTTCAAATTTCAAGACTCTCTACCTTGCGAGAAAAGGAATTAAGATTCAATAATGCTGAGTCCTTCTTCAAGATTCCAACAATTCGATGCCTCGCCAGCCACACCTGGGTCACTTTCAACTGCTATTATGTGCATCAAGACGGAGATCTGGAAAGCAAAATTAATCACAACACCGATGTTGAAAACTCAGGACTACAAAATCAAATTTGATACATTCAATTTTCAATAATAAATTATATTGAAACTTATTAATTATAATCAAGAAAGATTCAAATTTGATGACCATTTGAATATGAACAGAAAGTAATTCAAATTTTATGGATTTTTCTTTCTTTGAAATTTTAAATTTCCTATCCTGCTAAAGCTAACTCTAGTTTTCTTGTTTTATTTTTCAAGGGGTATTTTCTTTTAATGCTATTATTTACTGTGTTGAATCCTACAGAATTTATTGAATTTTGTTTTATTTATGCATATCGCGTGATATTCAATAATTAAAAATTTGATGTTAGGAAGATGCTATACCTGAGGCTTATTCAACTATTACTATTCCTAGAGATATATGAAAACTGAATCTAACAATTTATTTTTTATGCGAATTTTATTAAGGAGAGAAATTGACTGCATTTATTTATCATTCTTAAGTCCTTATGCTTACGGTTTTAACAGTTGAAGTTTGAATAATGATAACTGACACGTAATGATGTATCTATCTTCTTATAAATATAAATGTGAAATGTTATTACTAAGAGTCATGACATTTTCACAAATAAAAATAAAAACATCCAATATATATAAGATGAATGAGTGCATGATCATATTACATTGTTCAGACCAAAAAATGAATTAGTGCATGATCATATTGTATTATTCAGACTAAGAAATCAACCATTTCAGTGGGCTGCGTGTGGATGGCTGGCAATCCAGGGGCAACCACCTCCACGGCATACTCGCAGGCCAAGCTTTCGGTGGGGTGTGACATTCACCGTTGTCACGTTTCCAATGGTCAAGACGTTCACTACGTCTCGCAGACTCCAACTACGTCGATGTCGTCTCCATCTCTGCCTACGGCGACACCAACTGCATTCCGCTGCTCATCCAGCACCGGCGTCGCTCTCAACCACATCCCCGCCGATAATCACGTTCAAATACGGACTTGTGAACACACACGCACAAGTACTCACTCACGTGACTCTTTTTGCTTGACCGTTTGATAATTTTTATCAGGTGTGAAAGATGCGAGCAACAAGAAAATCTTAGTGGACATGCTGCCGGCAATAGACAATCTCGTCCCAGCTAATTACTTGCTCGTATCCGGTGATAGAGACTTCTCCAACGCGCTTCACCAACTCAGCATAAGAAGGTACAACATTCTCCTCGCGCATCCGCCTCAAGTTTCTCCCTCCCTCTTCGCCGCCGCCAAAGTCGTTTGGCTCTGGACAACCCTCTCCGCCGGCAGTGGCCCTCTCCACTTTGCTGATTCTGACTCTGCCTCTGCCACTGTTAAACCCACCCCTCTCCCTGAACCACCTATTCATTTCAAATCCAAAACTAAATACATAAGAAAAAGTACTACGAAACCCCCAATTCCGCCTCTTCAAATACCTGACGAGAGTGAGAGTACCAACAATGATTCCCTAATACGGAACCGCCCCAACCACCGAGAAAGTTCGTTATCGGAGCTCCTCATGAATTCTTTGCTAGCAAATGTAACCAGCCTGTAATTCCCATCCCAATGCCAACTAGTTCTAAGTTGAATGACGAAACTTCGATTCCTCAAGATTCGCGCCAACATTCTTCGAGACAAAAGTTAATTGAAATTCCTCATGTTGTGAATGTTGCTACTCATACGTGGCTTGGTTCTAGACCAAGCATTAGCCATCCTGAGTTCAATGTGGAGAGGCTTATTGATGTTGTTATGAGAACTCTAAACTTTCTCAAGGTTGAAATGGTTGTGTCCACCGAGGCGCATATAACCGACTGCATTCGTTATGGGGATCCCGTATATCAGACAATTGATGTTAGGAAGGCCTTGGATTTTGCCATAGGCCAACGTAGGATAGAGAAACGAGTCCTTGGGGCGTTGCATTTGTATATTGGGAGAAATGAGACGCTCTGGAAGTGTGTGCACCATTCAGGGGGTCATCCTAGTGATTACCCACAAGAAACGTGGGACAGAGTTAAGCAATTCCTTACTTCATCAAGAGGGAGATTGTTGCTTTTGGTTTCGCGTTGCAGGTATGTTTGGATGTTCTTAAGGGTTAGTTTACTTTAAAATGTTGTGTGTTTCTGTTCTCAATCTATTTCTTGGTTTTGAAAATTTGTGGAGGAAAATATAGATAACAAAAGAAAACTAAGTTACTGAGAGTCAAACCAGAAAATGTTTTCTCAAACCAAACGGCCTGGCTTCTTAAAGCTTCATTACTAATCTATTGACCTTTACTTTTTAAATAGATTTGAAGCCTGTTTGATTCTAAAGAGATCGTGCCTTGAAGAGGTTGTATTAGGGGACGTGCTTAAAATTCTAGAGATGATGATCACGGTAAAGAAATGGATTATACATCATCATAGTGGGTGGCGGCCGATTACCATTAGGCTTAAGGAGAGTAAAGGTGATGCAGAATGGTGTTTTTTTCAGAGTCACAACACAACATAAAAAAAGATATAGCGGCTCGGTTGACATGGTTGAATTATGAACGGTGAGAAGTTGTATACTTTTTGTGCATTACTGTATGCTTCACCAATCTGATATTTTGGGGGGAGTGCCAGCCTGTCTTTCGACAAGATTAAAATTAGTTGTTTTTTGGGAAAAACCCGTAGACGCAGAGACAACTAAAAGGTAAAGATTTTTTTTGTGGCGGTTTCATGCATTCAAATAAGTTTCCCTAAAACAGTACAAATATTACAATGAAAACCAGAATATCAATCCCTCAAAGTGATAAAAATATATGATTGAGTTATAAATGATTCAATAAGGAACTAAACTAAAAATGAAATTTACAATCTTAAACAAAACTAAAATAATGTTAAATCCTAATAGGCTTGAATGAAAATGCTGTAAAATACAAAAATGACTAAAAATATGCAAAATACAAAAAACGATGTAAAATCTCAAATTTGACCATGATGAATAGTAACAATGGTCAATATCACAAATTTGACGAATATGAACAGTAATCACAGTCAGAAATCACGGTCAGAAATTTGTGTTCTAAGTCAACATGCAAATACTATTAGATCTTTTTGATCAAAAATTGAAATTAGTGAACAAAATATATGATTGACCGAAAAGAATGCTAACAGAAACGAAAAACAATGCAAATGAATGAAGTTAAACAAAATTCATAAATCTGGCCAAGAATGAAGAGTGACCACGATCAGAGAACCACCGTCAGAAAAATAAACTCTCGATCAAAATGAAATGTAAAAACAATTGTTCGGTCAAGAATCAAATGCAATGTGTAAAATATATGAATGACTGAGTGAAATGTAATTATTTTTGAGTTTTTAGATTTTAAGATAAAAAATGACCGTAATAAACAATACTGAAGGTCAGAAAATCAACAAAATGAAAAGGTCTCAGTCACAATGAAATTATGAAGAGATGTCTTGGTCAAGATTTGAATGCAATGTATAAAATGTATGATTGACTGAGAGAAATTCAATTATTTTTGTATTTTGAGTTTTTAAAATGTGAAATGACGGAGCGAGTGTGTATTGGTGCGTGCAGCTAGAAACCTGATCGAGTGATAGTGATCAATTCGGTCAAAATATTCAAAATAGTGGTAAATGTGATTTGCAAATACTGGAATGAGTGCACCAATGTATATTTATGAGTTTTTCAATATTTAAAGGGGGATTTAAAGTGTAGAAAATTAAAATGAGAACTTAACTACACTTAAACTATTCTAAACTAAACTATTGTATGACAGAACATGAAATAATATCATAAAGTCTATCTAAACCTAAAACTAAGCTTTTACAGAGAGAGATTAAAACAAGTAATCAAAGCAATAAAACTTAGCTACCATGACTGTAAAGTGTTTCAAACATCAAAGCAGTAAAATTAAAACAATAAAGTGCAGAAAATTAAAGAAAGCAGAATAAGAACTATGAAGCATGATTCGGTGTAAGCAATATTGTAAAATTACTGCATTTTTGACATTGTGAAAACCTAATTAATCAATTAAGAATTCACCATATAGTTCAACAAAGTGATCGCAAGCTTCAATCCTAAACCGAGAGACATCCACAAGTCTAAAACAATTTGTGACATGCGATTCATTTTCAGCAGTTTTGTTCGGTAAAAAGCTAATATAATTCATGAATTCAGTAAAGAAAAAGCAATTGAAACAGTAGAAGAAGGAAATCCATATCCAAATTATGAAGAACAATGAAGAAAATTGAACACATACATGGAGTGTGTGATGCAAGCAAAGAAATGACCCATGGAGTTGAGTGCAAACATGAGAGAAAACAGTTGAGAGAAAATTCGATTTTGATTGAATCTGAATTCTGAAAACTTCAACTACTGTTCATTACATTAAGTTAATCTAATATATACTTTAACTAATGTACAATTATGAGTTACAAGGCCCATAACCGGAGATAATCAAATAACTTGAGAGAGAGGTTGAAGAGTCACGCTATCTTCGCTTAAGTGCAGTTCCACGTACTTCAAACGCTTGCACTATCTTCAATACTTCTTCAAATTAAACTATTCTGGTCTCCTTCCAAAGCTTGTTAAGTTAGTTTTAAAACGCCACCAATTTTATGATTTTTGGAGGTCTAGCGAATTTAGAATAATTAATTTACTGAGGCATGTCTAATGGATCGACTTGGTGCGCGTAACCTCTCTTAATAATTTATGTAAAATTCAATTTAGCTTCGAATTGAGTGGTTCTTGATCCTTTGGAAATTTGAATTGTCTAGTTTGCAATGCTTCAATAATTATGATTTTAGGAGCTTTGTATAAAAAATGATAAATAAAATAATGGACCAATATCAGTACCCGTATACAATAAAATATGGCTAATTTACTGTTTTTATGCAGAATTTTATGTTAAGGTTTCCAAAGGCCTAACAATACAAATTATAGTTAATTAAGCTTTATTAACACATTATAAATATTAATATCATAACATTATAAGCTACTTAAGATGTGCTGAAAATCAGTCACATCAAATACCCCACATTTAGTCCTTTGCACTCCTGGGCAAAGCTTAAGTTATGCAGTTCCATGTTTTATAAATCAATTAAGTAAAGTGAGAATATACAAATTCATATCCAAGCCTCATGCATCTAAGTTACAGCATCAAACACTTGACTCCTTAATTTAGAAGTACCCATGAATAATTTAAATAAGAATCTACCCAGCTTTATTTGAGAATTTCTTCACTAGGTCAAGTGTTTCACTCATCTCTCAACTGTATAAATATAGGTGTTGTTTTACTCAAATATTTTCCATGCAAAACCATTATCATAGGCTTGAATCAATTCTAATTTCAATCATCATAATTACCATGCATCCAAAGAATCAAGAGGACTTTAATTAAGCTTTCAACTTGGCCACGGGTTATAACTTTTGGGTATGGATAACAAAGGGATGCAAGGCTTTAAATAATGGAACTTTGGTAAAAGAAACATGGTTTGAAATACTACAAAAGTGTGGCGGAACTCTTTATACATAATGCTTTTCAATGCCTTTGGCTTCATAATTTATCATTCTTTTCTTTCTTTGCTTTTCAATACAATTCAGCTTTGCTGTTTTTAGCCTTTCAACTTTTTTTTTTAAATAATTTAATTTAAACACCACTCCACACTTGAGTTTTGCTCAATCTATAAATTAAAACCTCTTTCCTTCACCAAAGTCTAGGGTTAAAACTGGTTTTTTCTAGCTTCAGGCTTGTAGTGCACAGGTTATAAACAAAGAAAAGATAAATTAGGCTCAAGGGAGTGACTAGGGTCAATAATATTTAAAGGTTGGCTTTATTTGGTCAGTAGTTGCAACAAACATGGCCTTGATCATTTTCAATAGATGCATAGAACCAAGATAATTTACTCAGAGAATAAAGTCAAGTTCTGCAATTTAAACATCAAGAATAAATCACATATCAATGAATGAAGGCTCAAAACTCACGGCTTTTTAAACTCAATTCAGCTGAAATCAATCTTATTTTAACTTATCATGACATCCACTAATTCAGTCATCAAAATGTCTAAATACTTCACTTAAATAATTACAAAGCAAGGAATAAACCAAGGTTGCAACTCACATAATTTAGAAAATCATATTATATAAAACAGATTATATAAAACATAATATTGCATCAGCTTGCTCAACTTAGAATTACAAAGCTCAAGTATGAACAACTCAAAGTCATAAATTAATTTAGAAACCTCCCTAAACACCCCACACTTGAAAGACACATTGTCCTCAATGTGAGTCAAATAAATTTAAAAAGATAATACCTGAAAAAGCTTTGATCCACATAATTAATCACCACATAACTTATTGTTGCATAACTAGGTTAGCTAAAGAAATAATATGATTATCCACGTGTGAAACCAATTGACTTTCATGGAATATATTAAGTTTGTGACCATTAACTTTAAATATATTACCTGTTTTTGGATCAGAAATATGAATAGCTCCATGGGAAAATACTTTAGTAATAACATAAGGACCTTTCTATCTAGATTTTAATTTTCCTGCAATCAGTTTAAGTCTAGAATTAAATAAGAGTACATTCTGTCCTTCTTTAAATTGCTTCCTACATAAGTTATCATCATAAAATCTCCTTGCTTTCTCTTTATATATTCTGTTGTTCTTATAAGCTTGGAGTCGTATCTCTTCTAACTCCTAGAGTTTCAATTTCCTTTGTTGTCCTAATTCCTCCATGGATAAATTACAAGCTTTCACTGCCCAATATGATTTGTGCTCTATTTCCACAGGCAAATGGCAATATCTACCATAAACAACTCGAAATGGTTACATAAATTATTATCCCTAACTGCTTTAGCTTCCACCCACCTGAATACATAATTAACAGCCAATAATACATAATTAAATCCATTAGAAACAGGAAAGGGTCCCATAAAATTAATACCCCAAACATCAAATACTTCACAGAATAAAATAGCTTGTTCTGGCATCTCATCTCTTAGAAATGGCATGCCCAGCTCTTTGGCATTGTTCACAAATTAACACATAATGATAGGAATCTTTAAATATAGTAGGTCAATAGAATCCACATTCCAGGACTCTCATAGTTGTCCTCTTTGAACCAAGGTGTCCTCCAACTGGTGAGCTGTGACACAATTGTAAAATGTGAGCACTATCTTCATAAGTTACACATCTGCAAATAATTTGATCAGTGCACAATTTCCATAAATAAGGTTCTTCCCAAAAATAATACTTAGCATCATATTTCAATTTATTCAAATAATTCTTATCTACATTAACAGGTAAAACAGAAGAAGAAATATAATTAGCCAAGTCAGCAAACCAAGGAATAAATTTAACTTCATACAAATGCTCATCAGGAAATAACTCATTAATTTTATCAGTGGGAACAGTAGACTGGATTCTATTCAAATGATCAGCTACCTGGTTACACAGTCCAGCTCTGTCTTTAATAATCAAATCAAACTCTT